AAAAAAAAAAAAGAAATATAGACAACTAACAGCTCTCTACAAAAAGTCATGAAGGAATACAAAAGCATGGTTTCAGGAATCCTGGAGGCTAGCCTCCAGGCTCAGGGACAGGTGCTTGCCTACAGGTCAGATTCCAACACAGAAGACCTTACTTGTTCTGCAGATACCAGAGTTGACCCGAGGATCAACTAGGAAACAACAAAACAGCATTTGGAAAACATCAAGTGTCATAAGAGGCAATCAGGATGATCTTTTGCCTCAGCTACAGCTTTGCCCTGGCCTGTCAGACCACCTACAATGAGTCTCCTTGTTTATTATAGTTAATAGGTCTGCTGAAATTACATCAAACCAGACGAAACATATCAGCTCCCTCTTGTGGAAATGTTTTTTCATTGACTTAGGAAAAGGGCAAAGGTACCGTCAAGGTATGTGAAACCAGACTCTGTTTTATTCAGGTTACCTTTACCCCAAGACTCCCTACAGAGGATAGTCTTTTTACTGAGACCTATGGATTTTATTGATGTTAATATTTCTCTGTACCAAAAGCCCCAAACTGAAAGCCATTAAGTGAGCTACGGTGACTAGCTACACTACATCTTTTCACTTATACAGCACTCTTGGCACCAAGCACCAGGCGTTTACACACATTCACTCATGTAACCCTCACAACATCATCTTGAGGTCGGTCCTATTGCTTTCCCCATTTCACATCTGAGGAAACAGAAGGAGAGAGGTAAGTGACGTGGCCCAAGGTTATAGAACTTGATGACAGTGGGGCTGGGATTTGAACCCAACTCTTTAGCCTGTGCTCTGCTGCCTCTCCTAGTTCATGCCTGAGTCCTAGCTTCACTTTCCAGAGGGAGAGGACTCTGAGGTGTCCTCTCTATGCCTTCCATCTAAGTGGATGGCCCTCCCACTGTCCCTGCTGGCCCCCAGGACCCTGGCAGCTCCGAGGTGAGAAGGCTCTGGCTTGCCATACCTCGGGGATGAGCTGGAAGAGGGCGTTGGAGTAGAGGGTTCCAATCGCCAGAGCTATGAAGTAGAGCAGCAGCCTCTTGTAAAAGGTCTTCTTCATGAAGGGCACCACGCTGGCCCCCATGAGGGAGCAGAGGGAGATGACGGTCACGCAGAGGAGACCGTATCCCCACACTGCCGTGGGGAGGGAGGGCCAGCCCAACCCAGGGCAGGGAGAAGGGCACACGCCATCGCACGGCAACCACCATTTAGGGGGAGGAAGGTGGGGAAGGCAGGGAGGCAAGGAGGCACGGTTGGTGGATATTAACAATGGAAACAAAAAAGAGAAATCAGAGAGAGACAAGTAGGGAGGGAGAGAGAAACGGAACATTTGTTAGTGATTCAAGTCTGATGGAATTTCCTTCAATCAGCTCAGGAGAAATGAGGAGGAATTCAAGGTGGCCCTGGAACCCTGTGACTTCCACCCTGCTGCCTTTGGTGGCCCAAAGCATACCAGCTGGTGTGACTGGCAGGGTGAGTTGCGGCCTAGTTATACACCTGAGATCTGCTCAGGCCTATCAGAGGTTGTTCAAGATAGCCTTTGGACTCGAAGACTCTTTTTTTTTGAGTTGGAGTCCCACTCTGTCGCCCAGGCTGGAGTGCAGTGGCACACTTACCGCCACCGCAGCCTCAACCTGCTGGGCTCAGGCAACCCTCCTGATGCAGCCTTCCAAGTAGCTGGAACCGCAGGCATGTGCCACCATGCCCGGCTGATTTTTTTTTTTTTTAATTGTAGAGATGAGATCTTGCCATGTTGCTCAGTCTGGTCTTGAACCCCTGAGCTCAGGCAATCCTCTCACCTCCGCCTCCCAAAGCGCTGGGATCACAAGCGTGAGCCACCATGGCTGGTTTCGAAGGCTCTCTTAATAGAACCAAGAACAAGTAGAAACAGATGCACCCCTCTGCTGCTGAGTTTGCTTTTGTATATCCAATCCTTATTACATAAGCACATGTGATACCACCTGGACTTGGTTTGGTTTGTGTAAGATACGGCAAAGTCAGATGTACAGGGCAGAAGGGATGGAGGACGATTAAGACCCAATGCCCACAAAACTCAGTTTTCTTAATTTCTCGGTTTTTCTGTTTGTTTCTATTTGCTTGGAGAGGGGTTCAAGCACAGAGAACAGAGTTCCAGATCACCTCATCACAAAGAATATTCCTCCAGCATTTCCCAGTGTGACACTCCATCCAGGCTGTGAGTCAGGCCCAGAAGAGGGCAAGACAGAACCGTGCCAGGATGACACACTCCCTGGTGGACACAGGGGCAGAGCATGTACAATTATAGTATTTCCATTCAAATAGTCAACAAGGCATTTCTTTTCAAATCTTTAAAAAAAATTTAACATATTCAATTTCTGGAGCTGAAAAAATAACCCAAGATGAGGCCTTCTCTGAGAAGTGCTTGCTGGATCATGTGGGATTTTGAGACAGCATCAAGATGGCTAACATTAAACCAAATTTCTTCTCTTATTACAAAGGAGGAACAGACAAGGCATGGCACCCATCTGGTATCTTTCTGGGGTTAATCTTTTGACTGGGAAAGGCTGGGAAGGAAGCCGCTGACATGGCTCTTGATGAAAGTCAGCTCCCATCATCCCCTAACATCTCCTAGGGGGGCTGGTGCAGCGGTGCCCCGCCTGAGCTGAAAAGGTGGGCAGATTGTCAACTTGGGTCTTATTTTTATAGCTCCTCCATGATAACAATTAAGAAACAAAATTAACAAACATTTCAAAACAGTAAAGAGTACCAGGAAATCAGTCCTATCAGGAAAAAGTCAAGATGCAAGGTATGAAGGATTGAGTGCCCCTTTCATTTAGTTTGTATTTTTAATTGTGTTTGTTCCTGTTAAATAGTCTTTGTCCTGAGTTTGGCTCTCTAATGCTACAAATTACGTATGGCCTGCTTAAGATTAAAGGCCACTCATTCTTTAGGCCAATTCTGTGTTATCAGTTGGTAATCCCTTTTCCTTCATTCCACCTCATTCCAGATGGGTAAGCTCCTGGTGCCCCCAGCTGAGCATCGCCAGAGTTCCTCCTTAGAATCCAGGGAGCACACAGCACCGATGGTATGGACAGTGACTGTCAGAGGCAGCTTTAGGACACGGTGAGGTCCCCAGTAGGGGGCCCAATGTGAAGATCCTTGCATCTGACATCACCTGATGAGGCCAGAGAGGCGAGACAGAGGTAGACCCTGAGATCCAGAGTTAGAAGTCATTGGTGGCCCTTGATATGAGGGATAGGTTCAATTTTTCAGGTGGCAGTGTTTGGGTGCCTCAGTGCCCAGGGTGGGGGAACCGTCAGCCAGAGGAAGGCTCAGCTGTAGCACCCCAGGGGAAGAGGACGCGCACGGTCCCGTTCTACTGCACCTCTGGGATGAGCTGGAAGAGCGCGTTAGAGAGCAGCGTTCCAATGGACAGGGCGATGAAGTAAGTGAGTACACGGCTGAAAAACGCTTTCTCCGTGCAGGGCAGGACGAGGACTCCCAGGAGAGAGGCTAGGTTAATCAGTGAGACACTGAGAAAACCGAAGCCCCACACTGTGGAGGAACAAGAACAGACGAGGGCCTCTATTACCAAGGGTGGAGGCGCTCTTGCTGCCTGGGGAGGGACCATTCTGAATTCAGGAGTGACCAGGGCAGAGAGAGAACCACCAACCCGCCCGTCAGTATTTGCTGAGTCCATCTCTTGCTAAGTGCTGTGGAGAAGGCCAAGAAAACTATATCAACATGGTTATTCAAAAAAAGCTCACCTTTTTGATGGAGAGTCAGATGCAAACATCATTCAAAGTTAAAGACCATATGAGTTAAATAATGATGGCAGAAAACTGAGTCATAACACAGGCAGCATATACTGGGTACCAGGAGTCAGGCAGCACACACCAGCCCTACATAACTTCAGAGCAGCAGGGGGGCCCCCCTAAGGAATGGCGTACGCTCAGAGCCCATGGCAAGTCCACTGTGGCTGGATCAGGGCTACTGGGAGGGGGAGGGGGAGAAGGATGAAGCGGGCCAAGGGCAGGCTCTGGGAGGTCTTAAACGTAAAACTTAAAAAGCCAGGGCATTGGCCCCTTGTAGTTCAATGAATATCAAAAACAAAAGGAGACCAGGGCCAGGTGCAATGGCTCATGCTTGTGATCCCAGCAGTTTGGGAGGTTGAGGTATGAGGATCACTTAAGGCTAGGCGCTTGAGACAAGTCTGAGCAACATAACCAAACCTCGTCTCCACAAAAAAATAAAGAAAGAAAATTGCTGGGTGTGGTTATAAATCTATAGTCCCAGCTACACAAGAGGTTGAGGTGGAAAGATCACTTGAGGCTAGGAGTTTGAGGCCAGCCTGGATAACAGGGCAAGAACCCATCTCTATTTTAAAAAAAGAGTTGGACAGGTTTGGTGGCTCAGCCTGTAATCCCAGCACTTTGGGAATCCAAGGTGAATGGATTGCCTGAGCCCACGGTTCACGACCAGCCCAGGCAACTTGGTGAGACCTCGTCTCCACAATAAACCAAAAATTAGCCGGGCATGGTACTGCATGTCTGTAGTTCTGGCTCTTTGAAAGGCTGAGGCAGAAGGATCACCGGAGCCCAGCAGGTCAATGCTGGGGTGGCCACGAGTGTGCCACTGTACTCCAGCCTGGGCGATGGAGTGAGACTCTAACTCAAAAAAGTGGACCAAAAAGGCATCCACAGGCTGCTCAAGAAGTTAATAGTCTTCCAGTCTGGGCAACATAGTGTGACCTTGTCTCTACAAAAATAAAAAAATAAAAATATCTGCCAGGCATAGTGACACGCACCTGTAGTCCTACTACCCAAAAGATCGAGGCAGAAGGATTGTCTGCCTGAGCCCAGGAGTTCAAGGCTGTGGTGAGCCATGATCGTGCCACTGCACTCCAACCTGGGCAACAGAGTGAGACCTTGACTCCAGAAAAAAAAAGTAGTAGTCCAACATTCTGAATATTCAGCAGCCACTGCCCAGGAGTCTGCCAGTGTGTAGGCCAGTCTTATGAACACAAAAATTATCAGTACAATCATCAATTTCCTTCCTGAGGCTGATAACCTCATCCTGGTCATCCCTGGTTAAGCATTCAGTAAGTAGCACCATCAGCTCAGTCCAGGAATCTGCGTGAGGATGGGCTCAGAGATCAGGCTGCCGTCCTCCTTGCCTAGCTTACCTTCAATTGCACTCGGCCCCCCCTCTTCCGTCTGCTCATTCTCCTCATTTTTCTGGTTCTCGGAGGTGCAGGCCCGGGAATTCAGCTGCTGGAGAATGGTGGGGCAGAAGTCCCGGAGCTCACTCCTCCCAATCCGTGACTGCTCGCTAAAATTGTGGGCAGCAAAGAGGTCTCCAGAGCTAAAGCACTGAAACACAAAGAGACGGAGGGAGCAGAAAGCCTCTTAGAACCCAAAGGTCAGGCCTTGCCCCGCACTAAGGAGTAACCTATTCAGTATTCCCAAAGAAGAAAAAGGAGAAGACAGAAGTGCCCAAATTTCAGGGAAAGTATAGACTCATCTAGTCTAGAAACAAGAGCAAGGTGGTCTCTACACTTAAAAAAACTGGTAAGTCATCTTAGGAATAGCCACCCACAAGTTATACATCTTAAGCACACAAGGTTCCAGTCACTGTGACTAAAGATGTAGTTCTAGAAATCATTATTCTATTTGTATGCCTAAAGATACAAGCTTCATCTAACTGCACATCACAATAACCCAGGGAGCCCTTATATTAAAATGCAGATTTCAGCTACTGCCCCAGAGCTGTGAGTACTGACATGCATAGGAGTGGGGCTCCTCAGAAGAAACTATGGGGCCACCCAATCGGACCAACACGTGGGGATAATTAGTCTCCACCACACAGTACTTCCCTCAGCCCAAAGGATATGCTGACAGAAGCGAGAGGAGGAAAATCTAGGCTCAAAGTTGACCTTGGGGCAAGCACAGGCCTCCGGGAGCACTCGGTCACCTTAAGAGGTGGCAGGTAAGTGGTTCTCACAAGCCATTCCTGTGAATTCTGCAGCTCCACTTCTAATTATATTCTATAACACCTACTACAGTCAGTCAGTCCTTTTCTGAGTTTGGTTTCACAAGGGTATATCTCTAAGAGTCAGCCCTCTGGGTGTGCTGACAAAATAAGTGTCCTGGCCAACAAGGTTGAGGGCAGGGATCCTGTGACCCCAAGACACTGCCGCTACACTGGCAGGCCCTGAGACCCACGGGGTAGCCCTCGGGGGTCAGTGTGCACTACCTTCCTGGCGCACACTCTCCGCCTCCTCAGCGACTCAGATATTCACCATGCTCAGATGGTTCTGCATCCATACCCCCTGATCTCCCTTGTCTACCTTCTGTCTCCAAGCTCTGCTCGTCACTCAAGAGATGATTCCAGGAGATGTGAGCCATGAGCATCCCTTGGAAGTTTCCAGCACACTCATCTCCCCTCTCATTTCTGAATCCTACAATTGCTGCCCAGCCTACAACATGTAATGCTTCCTTTTAGTGCCAGCTCACTCTGTCCTCTGTTGGTCGAGCGCCCCAAGACAGTAAACTCCTTAAATATGACTCATTTCTCACAACACTCAGCACAGGGAACAAAGTAGATATATTAAGACTTTGCTGGCTGGCTTATATTTGCTGCCTCAAATAGCCTCAGACTCTGATTGGCAAAAATGATAGGGAAGAAAGAACACAGAACCAAAAGGCAAAAGATGTGGGGTTCCAGTCCTGGTCCCTACAGGAACTCACTGCTAGACCCTCAGTGCTCTCTCCTCCAAAATGAAGATAATACCACCTACACTGAAGCTGTGGGCTCATCTGGGATGGTGTACAAAGGGTTTTGTGAACTGTAAACTCTATGAGAAACGCTATCCTGGAAGCCACGGCTCACCAGCAGTTCTGGATGAGTCAAGTGCAGCTCTGAGAAAAAGGCTCAGGGGCTGAGAACCCCACTTCATGGCTACCCTTTGTAAGGGCTTCAAAATGCCCATGCTGGGGGTCAGGCACTGAGAAGACTCAGACTTTGCTGATCCAGACAATAAGTGAAAACCCATCAACTGTCCACCCCTGCCACCAAGGCCTGCCCGTCCCATCTTGCCTATGCCAAGCTACTCAGCTACCCTGTGCCCAGCTAGACAGGGAACCCTGAGAGGCCGGAGACAGTGCTAGTACCACACAGAGCTCAGAGGCGAGTCTTACCGTCGAGAGGTTTCTCTGTTCCTGCACGGGGTGGGTGACGTTATCTTGGCCCACTCCCACATTCAGGTGGTTGAGCAGGGCCTTCAGCTGTTGCAGAGTGAGGCTGTCGCCCTCCCCATAGTGGTGCATGAGGTCCTGCAGAAAAGAGGCCGCGCTGAGAGCTGGCGTGCCTGTGGACGCGGTGTCGGCTGGAGAAGGTGTCCAAACGCAGAGCAGGGTCAGCAGAAGGCAGCCAGGGAAGGCTGGGTTTAGCAGCTTCATGATGAGAAGTGAGCCTGCAAGAGCAATGTGCCAGGTTAAGTCAAGGTGTCGCCCACTGTTGGCCAGAAACACATCAGGCCCATCAGCTACCGCCACACACGCGAGTTCTTTCCTTCAGACTCTGAATCAGGTCGACCACCAAAGCCTATCTCTCGCCCCTTCTTGAATTCCTCTGCGTAGCCTTTGAGAAAAGCCTTTCTTTGAAAGGATAGAATAAAAATTAATAAAAAGAAACCAAAATTTTTATTTTGAATTTTTTTTTGAAATTTTTACTTTGAAAATTTGGGAAGCTGAGGCAAGAGGATTGCCTGAGCCCGGGGGTTTGAGACTGGTCTGGGCAACTTGGAGAGACCTCGTCTCCACAATAAATCACAAAAAATTAGGTGGGTGTGGTGGCATGTGCCTGTGGTTCCAGCTACTTGGAAGGCGGAGATGGAAGGATCGCCTGAGCCCAGCAAGTTGAGGCTGCAGTGGCCATGAGCAGCGTGCCACTGCACTCCAGCCTGGGTGACAGAGTGAGGCTCCAACTCAAAAAAAAAATAAAAAGATGTGGGGTACAATTCAGGGTTAGGTATACAAATGGTCACTGTACAGGTAAAGTTTGGGCCTCACTTTGGTCCTCATGTCACCTGGTTTGAGATCAAGTACCCTTATTGATGAAGTGTGCCCCACACCCAAGAGTTTCCCACTACTGCCAATCTCTTTCTTTCTTTTAGAGTTGGAGTCTCACTCCATAGCCCAGTCTGGAGAGCAGTGGTACGCTCAGTATCGACTTGCTGGGCTCCAGGCATCCTTCCACTTCAGCCTTCCAAAGTAGCTGAAACTACAGGTGTATGCTACCACACCCGGCTAATTTTTTATTTATTGTAGAGATGAGGTCTTGCAAGTTGCACAGACTGGTCTCAAATCCATGGGCTCATACAATCCATTCACCTTGGCTGCCCCAAAGTGCTGGGATTACAGGCTAAGTCACAGAGCCCCACCACCAATCCCTTTCTTATAGTGCTATGCTAATTGTTTAGGGTCTACTTATGAGTGAGAACATGTGGTACAGAGTTCTTTGTTTCTGTGATAGATCACTGAGTATTACAGACTCTAAATCCATCCAAGTTGCTGCGAAGTTCATAATTTTGTCCA